GGGAAGTAGTTCTCAGAAAAACTTTTACTGACTCCAACCACAGACTAGGACAGGGAGGCATCTAGAAAGACCCCCAATATGACAAGAAACAGTTCTTAGAAAATACCAACAAAACACCTGGCCACAGGACCCCACTAATGACTCTCAAAAGGTGCCATGGCATGGGAAGCTGATCTGGACTGGAGAGGCCTTGCACATGCGCAGTTCGGACTGCTGACCAATCTGTAACCCCTGAAGGCCATGCCCAAACCTTTGCTTTCTGTCAGCTCCACTTTTGGGCATGAGCCACGCTGCTGACCTCCTTTGCATGCAAAAGGAATGGATTCAGTCTCTACCGGGTGATGCTTCCCTTTTTCCTGATAATCGAGACCCTCCGGGAAAAAGGCAAAAGGCATTCTTGCAACAGTGAGGGCAAGAGGAAGGCCCCTGATCTAGCCCGACAACAGAAGCCCCAGCTGCGTGGGACTGCTCCTTCCAGTCAGGCCGCGAGGGGCATGGAGGGGTCCCGGCCTGGGCAGGGCAAGCAGCAGCCCGTTCCCAGGCTCCGATGGAGGATGAGCGATGCAAAGGGGCCTTCTCATGGGCCTTTATCCAAGGATGCCCACTTCACCGACTGGCCCACACACCTCCGGCTGCTGTTATGGGCATCTGCTCGCTGCAAGCTCCGGCTTGGTTCTGCCTGCGGGATTTGGGTTCCTGGGATCTTAGAGAATTTCTGGAAACAAACCGCAGCAGCTACGGAATGCGGCCACCGGGCTGCTGAGGGCGCGTGTCAGTCTCAGCGTTGGAGTGGCAAAGCCTCGGAGGCTGACAGCTGCACTTCTGGGCTCCCTTCTAGGGAGCCCAGGTACACAAAGGACCAGCTCCTCCCGTGTGAGCTCACTCGCCTCCTAAGATCAGCTGAAGGCCCTAGCTCTGCATCATCTCTCTGCCTAAAGTACAGAGGAAGATGGCAACCCTGTTTGCATCAAGAAGTCAGTGTCAGACACTAACAAGCAAAGGAAAGGGCAAGCCGCAAAGTGGAACTGGGAAATGCAGGAAACTTGCTATTGCACCCTTGATGGAAGCTTCCCCCCTCCCCTCCATCTTGCCACTTCTCTTGCTCTCAGCCCTCTTTGCCAGCCATTTGGAGAAGGGGCAGCCCTTACTTTCAGGTAGGAGGCCAACCCAGCTTCCTTGCTCTCCAGATGCTTCCTTTTCCGTACGATGGACTCGCAGATTCCGGGGTTCTGTTCCATTTTGCTGTAAAGATCTTGCAGGGATTTCTGTGTGTACGTCAAGGACTGCCTCTCAAAGTCCTCTGGAGATATCCGCTGGCAGAAAGAGATGTAAAGTGGGGACTCGTTGTCAAATTCTCCCAGGATCTCCATCTTAGACCTGTTCATAAAAGAGGGGGTGCATGTTAACTCTTTCCCCAAATATTTATAATATTCCACTGCCAAAGTGTCCATCGGTGCAAGGTTAGCATCCGGAGTCACAGGCTCCAGGACAAATGAAAGGTGGCATTAAATGCATATTGGTGTTTCATAGCGCTAGCTCTTTTCTTCCTAAATATCTGGTAAAGATAGCATTTCCTTCTCCCAGGACTAAAAGCAGCTGTGGCTGAAGGCTGATTTAATAACAGTACAGTTTTCATGATTTTGTAGTGGAATTTTCTGGGGCTTCTACTGTCACCAGTATTTTATATTGTATGTTGTGAGTATTGTAAACAGCCCAAAGAGCCTGGGATATCATGTGATGTAGGAAAAAAGAGGAGGAAGAGGAGGAATTACTGATGTGTCTTCTACCCATTTTCACTCCTCCTTCTGATTCTAATCCAGCTTTCCATATGATATGTTCTGCATACAGATCGAGCAGATAGGGAGATAAAATATGCCCTTGTCTGATGCCTTTGCCTATGGAAAACCATCCTATTTCTCCACACTCTGGCTTCACAGGAGCTTCTTGTCCTCGATGCAGGTTAAGCATCAGGACAATCAAGTGCTCAGGCACCCCCATTTCTTTCAAGACCAGTCATAGCTTCCCATGATCCTCACAATCAATGGCTTTGCTGTAGTCTGTGAAGCACAGATCGATCTTCTGAGTTCTTTGGTGTGCTCCTGTAGCCAAAACATATTGGCCATAGGATCTTGAGTGGTTCTTCTTTTCGGAACTCAGCTGGGACGCCAGGCATTTCTCACTCCACGTGAGGTCATAGTTGCAACATTTTGAGCATCCTTTTGCTTGCATGGCAAATTAGTGGAAAATTTGCATCTCCTTTCTTGGCAACCGGAATGTATATCAAACAAAGTCTGTGTGCTCTTGTTCAGTTTGTCATCTTTGTTGGCATCTTCTTTTTAGGATCTGGACCTTCTCTTTTTTTTAGAAAGTACCATTACCGGTTCTCAAGAGGCAGATAGGGATAAAATAGTTAGTGTTATTAAGAACAGGTATTCAAACACGTTCCCCTCTGGGATGCACACCTTAATGTCATAAGGGGGTTTGAGAGTGCCAGAGAAGCAGAGCGTGATGCCACCAGGAGGACAACCCTGCCCCCCCCCCACCTGGTTGCTCTCCCTGCAGGGTCACCCAAAGTGGAATGGTCAGAGCAGAGGCACCACGCTGAGGTCCACCCACCCTCTTCAGGAGGAACAGTCACATCAGCAGAAGAGCGTGGATCTCTCTCATGGGGGTGGAGTAACTCCTGAAAGGCAACTATTGGGCAGCAGTGGTAGCTGGTGGCGACTGGTGGAGGATCTTTCACACATGGTGGCCACGCCAGTCCAGCTGACTCTGGTTCATACTCCGCAGAAGACGTCAATGGGAAACCACTTCTGAATCTCTCACTTTGCAAACTTACAATTAAGCAATCCCAGACATTTTCTAATGTTTGTTATTCATAATGCCATCTACTGTATCCCTATTTGCTTCTGGAGAAGAGGCGGTGGCACTTAAAAAGAGTGTTAGCAGGTGGACACAAGTATGCACATAGGTTTGTTTTTGTCACTGGGATGGAGAATGTGTCCACCCTCCGCAGCTTGTTAAAGCACAACTCCCATTGGCTCTAGCTAGGAAAGCAAATAGGAGAGGGTAGTCAAGGCCGTGATCCAGCACAGGGCCAGGCTAAGCCAAGATCGCGCCCTTTCCCTTTCATGTACATCAGCTGACTGGACCGGCAGGTGGATCTCTTTTCAGTACTGGCAGTGGGACATCATCTCCAACCACCTGGAGCCCGCCTGGAGGCACAACCTAGTTGTGGGGGCACAGGTGGGCTGTATGGCCCTCCCTCCCTCCCCCACACTGGGTAACTGCCCCACTCAGCCTACTGGGAGGGCCAGCCCTGGCCAAACAACCTAGAAGGCCACCTGTTCCTCATCCGGTTAATTTATCCAGGCAGAACCTTGGTGTACCTAAGGGGCAGCCCCCTTTGCTAACAAACATGAACAACTGAATAAGTCCAGTTCTGTCTCGGTCTGTTTAGAAAGAGCTCCAAGTTTACCGGGGGTTTGCTCCAAGGAAGTGCACAAAGGATTACAGCACCAACCTTGTTACAGGGGCACTAAGCCTTAAACAGCTGGCTGCTTGAAGTGCTACCTTTGTTGGGAAGAGGTGTTTATTCCCAGAGGCTCTCTATACTTGGAGCAGCCAAGCAGATGATGCCTGGGCCAGCCAGCCAGGAAAAAAGGTGTGGTTTTGACTCTGAGGCGGCTGGTAGAGAGCAGCTCTGCAAGCCAATCCATCCTGCTCTAACCTTCCTCGGCTGCAGGCTTCTGCAGGAATTGTGACGTCACAGACAATTGAGCCAATCACGTAGTTTTAAGTTGTTGCCTCAGCAGTGCGGTTTTGACTTCATAGAACAAAACTGACCCATCATTGTTCTCAGCTCCTATTCACTGGCAAAGTCTTTACAGGGTGCAAAAGAAGACTATCAAGAATAAAAACCAGAGCTCCACATTTTCAGCATTTTCAGTGCTCTCTGCTCTATTATGCTTTCTGAAACAAATTCCAGGAAAAAAAGAGACCTTTTAGCTGACATTGTGGAAATCATAAATTTTATCAGCTTCAGGGAGTTAAATTCAAGATTATTCTCATTATTCTGCGAGGAGCTACCTAATTCTCACAAAGCATTGTGCAGCGCTGAGCTCCAGTCCCAAGGAAATTCAATCTTGGCCTGGCCTGGCCTTTTCATTTTATTTAATGTATTTTAATGTGTCTCGATGCTATTTTATTTAATTTTAAAATATTTCAAATGCTGTTGTATTTTTTTGTTTTTACGTCCTGTTGTGAACCTCCCAGAGAGCATTGGCCATGGACGGTATAGAAATGGACTTAGGAAGAAGCACCGTTTTGCAGCAGAAAACAAGCAGGCTTACTAAAACGAGCACCTGCAACCGTCCACGTGCCGAGCGAGTGGTTCCCTCACTGGAAAGGTTCAAAAAGGAGGAGGAAGGATGCCGCGGTGGGTGACAGCCACCTGGGTGCTGATGTGGGACCGTCTGCCAGGTGCCCCGTCGCGACTGCTTCCTGGATGGTCATTTGGGAGCTGTCAGCATGTGCAGCCCAGGACTGCAACCTTCCAGACCAGCCCAGTGGCACCACCAAGCCAAGGGGGGCTAGTCACCCAGAAGTCCATGCTGCTGTCAGGAAATCTCAGAATCACAGAACCAGGAGAATGTACGTTTGGATACACGCTGAAGATTGTACATTCAGTTTCTGAATTGTTAGCTGCTTTGACCACCCATGTGGAGCAGGAAAAAGGGAGATAAATTTAAATAAATACATTCACTATAGGAAATTTAAGAAAGGATATACAGTAAGCCCCCTGAATTGCTTTATTTTCATAATGCATCAAGCTGAATATTTATTTGCTTATTTATTCATTGTACCTTTAGTTGGCCAATAGCAAATGTTGAAACCTTCCCAGGAGTGAGTTGGAGCATACGGAAAAGAAATCATGACTTGGGTGGCAAGATGGGAAGTTGTAAAAAAGAAAAAGAACACAATTTGTAATGCCTGATTTTATTACGTGCGGTAAAAGCAGTTCTTTTGCTGTAGAAAACACCAAACCATTTCTCATGTTCACTATTGCCATTCTTCTTATAACACATGAGAGAAGCTTGGCCATCTTGTCCGGGGAATCAGCAAGCACGAGGAGGTGCCTTCACTGCTGCAGCCTGGACTTCATTTGCAGTATTTACTTGTGTCCAGTTTCCAGTATTCCTTGTTGTACGGAGCTCCAGCGAAGCAGATGGCGGCGCTGCGGTCACAGTTGCAAATGAATAATGCACACTCATCATCATCGTCTGGAGTGAGAGAGGTGGACAAAGTTGCATGTGAGAACTGGGTGGCTTTTATGCTTTGGGCAACTTCGGGAAGTCCAAGGGCCATGGGCACCCCAAGCAATTCCCGTGGGCTGTAGGTTCCCCTGCATCATGCTGCCAAAAATTAAGAATTTTAAAAATGACATCTGGTGCAACCACGGAGTGTCTAAAGGAAGCTCTTTCCGAGCTAAACCTGAGCCTGCGTTTGCCCTCCGCAAAACTGGGCAAGTAGGAAGGCCGGGAATCTTGTGTTTTGGTCTGTGGGCCTCTTTGAGAGAGGTGCAAGCCCATGAGTCACAAAATGGTCGTGCGGCTGTGGGGTCAAGCCACAATTGATGGCTGATGGGGCAGAGCACAGCCCTTTCAGCTCGCAGTGACTGGAATAATTTTGGAGTGATACCCCACTGTGTTTTAGAAATAGCCAAATTCTTTGCCACCATGATGTCCTCTGAGCAGAGAGCTCCAGAATACAGCTTCCTGCGAAATAATTCCAGGCATTGCATGCAGAGGTCCCCAGTCTCTGTCTCTCTATTTCAGACAGGATTTGCCAATTCATGAAGAAGTTTTGGAATAATTATAATGATTATACAGTGGTACCTTGGCTCATGAACTTAATCCGTTCCAAGACTGGTCGTGACCCAAACTGGTCGTGAGCCTAGTCAAGTTTCCTCATAAGGTTCAATGTAAATAAGGTTAATCCATTCTGTAACTAATTTTTTTATCACAAAAATTTGAAATGGGCACGCTGGGGGGGGAGGCGTGGTCATCACCCAATGTGGAGTTCATGACCCGAGGCAAAATTTTTGTGAAATTTCTGTTCACAACCCTATTTGGTCGTGAACTGAGGCTGAGGTACCACTGTATTGCACTTTTATGTATGCCACATTTTTCCCTCTTGTGGGGAATGGAAGGCAGCTTACATAGCTCCATTTTGCCCTTACCACAACAACCCTGTGAGGTAGGATGGGCCGAGGGGCAGTGACTGGCCCAGAGTCAGCCAGTGAGCTCCATGGCTGGGCGGGGAACTAGACCCCGGGTCTCCCCGCCCCACGCCACCCCACACACTTCCCCGTCTCTCAAGGAATCCCTCATCGCCTCCCGCCTTTATTTCTTTATTTGTTTATTTAGTATCCCGTCAAATCATTACAGAATCTCAAGATGCTTTACACAAAGGAGACAAAAAAGAGAAAAAATGTAAATATATATTAAAACCAATATTACAACAACAAATACAGTGATACCTCAGCTCACGAACGCCAAATCGGGTCGCGAACAGAAATTTTGGCGGAATTGTGCCTCAGGTCGCGAACTCCACGTGGGGTTCGCGGCCATCTTCCTACAGGGACTGGCCAAACAGTCACCCTCACCCACCCACCCCGAGGGGGAGCCATGAGGGCGGCTCCTCAGTCCAGGCCTTCCCGGCCGCTCGCTTCCGAGCCAGAGGAAGGAAGGTCCCTACAGGCTCAGGGAAAGGGAGCGGGAGGCCGGAGAGGCAGGCGTGGGGTGGCTACCCCGGCCAGGGGAGGCCACGAGGAGGGAGGCAGGAGCAGGGCCGCGGCCGGCCGAGCGGAGACGTGGCTCATACTGTATTTTTGTGGTTAAAGAAAAATCACACACTTCTTTATTTAAAACTTTCATATACCGTCCTTTATGTATAACATACATTTATGGTAAAGAATGGATTAACCTTATTTACATTGACCCTTATGGGGAAATTTGACTTGGCTCGTGACCAATTCGGGTTGTGACCAGAGTCCTGGAACGGATTAAGTTCGTGAGCCGAAGTACCACTGTAGTTAAGAACTCCTAAGTGCCAGTACTTGCTGGACTAATTAAAATGTCCATTATTATTTTAAAGAGTGGGCTCCAGGCACACCTCTCTGGGCAGGTAGTTCCAGTATAAGGGTGCTATCGCTCTCCTCCTCGTAACCACCTCCTCAGCTCTTTCAGGGAGGGCTCTTGAAGGAGAGCATCTGCAGATGATCTCAGGGTCCAGGCAGGCTCGTATGGACAGATGTCCCCTTAGATAACCAGGCCCTAAACTGTTCAGGGCTTTATATGTTATTTTTAATCCCTTAAATTGGTCCCAGACTTCAGCCAGTGTAGCTGATCTAGGACTGGTGTGACGTGTTCTCACCTACTGGCCCCTGCCAATAGTCTGGCAGCTCTGTTTTGAGCTCATTACAATGTCCAGATTGTCTTCAAGGGCAGCCCCACATACACTGTGCCACAAGTGTCGATTTGCATCCCCACTTCTCCTTTCGTCCTTTCCTTGTCGCCTCCATGTTGCCAACTGCTTTTGTTCCTACGGGAGGGAAAGCACTGAGGTGCACAGGTGAAGGCCTGATGGGCTCAGGCACATTTACCTGTGCAGGTGATCTCCTTGCCAGAACAGCTGTACTTGTAGCTCTTCGTATATGGGTTGTCCACGAGGAATCTGCATGCAGGCAGCCTCTTGGCCTGGTGGTAGCAGTTGTCGTGAGTCCAACAGCACCTGCCCGGAAAGCAAAACCCTTTAACCTGATTCACATGTCCTGTCCTGCCCTGCCCAGCACTGCCTCGCTCCAGTCCAGTACCGTGTTTCTGATGCCGGCTGCCCAGACGCCCTGCAATATTGCTGGCTATCCCAGAATTGGGGAAGGAAGCGAGGGAGAAAAACATCTCCCTGGCCGAGCATTCCCCAACCTCCTGGATAAGGACACGAGAAGGGCTCATCAAGGCCAGCATGGTGCTCAGACCAGGGCCAGAGTGGAACAGTGCCCCACTGCCCATGTTCCCCAGCAGCTACTGTGTACAGGTGCATGGCCTCTGATCCTGGGGGAAGCAAGGAGCCACCCGGCCCACTAGTCATGGCCAGCTGTTCGTCTTCTCCGTGCTGGTTGGGGGACTGGATCAACCCTCTTGTGTTCCCAGCCACGCTGCGTGGGAAGCAAGCTGGGCAGGGAAGGAAGCAGAAGGGGAATGGGCGCATCTGGAGCAGGGGTGCTGGAGGAGAGCCTTGCAAATTCCCTGGGCTGGCAGGAAGACAAGCAAGGGGGTCCTAGATCCAGTCAAGCTGGAAGCAAGAATGACGAAACTGAGGCTGTCCTTTGGGCACATCCTGAGAAGGAAAATCTCCCTGGGGAAGATGAGAATATTTGAGAAAGTAGAAAGCAGGAGAAGAGGAGGACCAACCCTGAGATGGCTCAGTTCCACCCAGGGCACCCCAGCCTTGAGGTGGCAAGAGCACTGGGAAGGCATTCATTCATGGGGCCACTGTAGCTTGGAGATGACAGCAGATAACAGCAGCACAACACATCTGGGAGGTACGGGGCTTATGCACTGTGCCTGCACCAGATGCTCCTAAACCTGGGCTAGTGCTGTGATGATGCTGGTTGTCCAGGCGGTGCTGAGCTGCTGAGAAATGCGGTGGGAGGCCGTTCACTGCTCCTGTATCTGGGACCGGCAGAAAGATCGCCTCCTGTTCCGCTTACCTCCTGCATGGAAATTAACAAATGGGTGGCATCAATGGATTCTCCGCACCCTTTGAACAGCGGAAAGGTTGGCATTACAACTCTGTAAGGATAAACACTCACTTCTTAAGGACTGAGTGTCATGAGCTGGGCATCTCCTCTCAAGCAAGACAGTCTCTCCAGCACTACTTGTAAGAGCCTTTATTCTACACAGAAGACTTCAAGCATTCGCAAGTCTCTGAGCATATACAAGGAGAAGTGTGGGGCCAGCTCTGCCCCACTTCACCAAAGCTTTGCTTATGAACCCTTCTGGGCCAGTCTCTGGAAGGGGAGGCACTGTGAAAACGCGCACTCCTGCGTTCTGCGCTCCGAGCCCCTAGCAGGTCCGGCCTGCGGCTGTGACGACGGGCCCTCAGGTCCACGCCTGGCGTTCTCCGCCCCAGAGGCCGCCCAGTTCCACATCGCCCCCCTCCCGTCCTTTGTCTGGTCCATTCCCACAGGCGGGAGGGAGCTGGGCCCCGTGGGTGGGTGTCCTTGGGCTGCTTTCCTCCAGTGCAGGTGCAGGCCTCTCCGTTCCAACAACTCCGTTCTCGGAGCGTGAGCTCTGAGCCTGTTCTGGTTCGGCCTTTCCCGCGTCATCCTCCGAGCCTGAGCTATCCATCCCACCAAAACAGGCTGTCTCTCATGCGTGCCTGGGGATCTCGTCAGAGTGCGCACGCATGACATTGAGGACTTAACAATACTTTCAGCATTTGAATGGGTGGCATACGAGGGGGGACCCAATAGAAACCGGAATCATTTTCTGGTGGGCAAGCCCATTGTAGCACATGCTTCCGCTGCCAGATGTCTCTTACAGGGATCCTTCTGCATCAGTCTGCCGACTGGCATCATCGAATGAAGTCGTGGTGCCACATAGTAAATTTTTTTGTTAAGTGCCTCTTGTTTGTTCGTCAATTTTTGAGATGCCTGAAAAGTTGGAACAACGTGCGGCTGTAAAATTCTGTTTTCTGTTAGGGAAAGTGGAGGGGAAACAGTTGTAATGCTTAAACAGCTTACAAGGAAGCTGCTCTGGGGAAAACACAAGTTTACAAATGGTTTTCCCACTTCAGAAATGGTGAATTGTCACTTGCAGACCAGCCTCGCTCAGGGCAACCCTCAACCTCCCAAATGGATGAAAACAGTGCGAGAATTCGTGAACTGATCTTGGAAGATGGTCGCAGAACAATTGATAAACTTGTTGATTTGTCCGGTGTGTCCTGGAGTTCCTGCCAATGGATTTTCAGTGAGGAATTTCAAATGAAAAGCAAGTACTTAACAAAAAAAATTACTACGTGGCACGACTTCACTCGACAATGCCAATTGGCAGACTGGTGCAGAGGTGTCCCCACAAGAGGCATCTAGCGGCGGAAGCATGTACTACAACGGGCTTGCCCACCAGAGGATGATTCCACTTTCCTTTGGGTCTCCTCCTCATATGGATGCCACCTTCAAATGAATGCATATCTGGATGTCCAATTTGCTTTTGTTGAAGCCTAGTTCTAAGTGCCAGCAAGTTGCATATTCTTATATATGCATTCTATATGTATTCATTCCTACAGATGTACAAAAATTCACATACATTTGCTTAAAGAAATGGGGGGGGGGGTTATCCTGCTCCCTTCCCCACATGAACACAGAGGTTCCTCTCAGCTTTTGAATGGCATAATTATCTGGACCAGGCAGAATGTTTCTAGAGCCTAGGGATGGGAAAAATCAATTCAGTGTGTGTTTTAAGATGAACACGGCCATTTTCACAATTTCAAACTGCTATGCACACTAAAACTCTTTTCTAAAATTTGCCATTGCATTTTCAAAAAATTGACATCGAATTTGCCGCTGTGCATTAAGGCACGCATCGTTGGGAAAATAACATTCCAAAATGCATTGCATTTGGGAAATCGCTTGCAGAAAATTGCATGTCCTGTGGAAGGAACAACACTGGGGATGGGAGATGCTGTCCACATCCCCTCCAATTCTTTCTCAGTAGCCATTTCTAAGAATTTCTTGCAGCTGAAATGCACGCGTGCAAGGCCCGGGGTCAGGAGGGGAGGGAGCTGTGCAGTCCTGGAGTTGACTTACGTGTCCAGCTCATCCACTGGGGTTCCTTTGCCTCCCAAGCCACAGTAACAGCCATAATCGCTGTAATCCACCACTGGGTTACTGTTTGGGTTGGCGCACTTGATCATGTTACGGAACTGCAGCAAGTTCCGGGCAGACATGGCGGAGGAGCCCACTAGAAGGGAGACACAAACTTGCCCCGAGAAGATCGGTGTTAGACAAAAGTCTTGTAGCTGAAGCACAATTTCCCTCATACTAAATTGAGCGTGTTGGGGAGAAACTTCCCAAAGATTCCATTTAAAATACTCAGAATTGCTTGCCTTGGAGAGAGGAGCAGAACTTCTTTGCTTTTGCGTAAGTCACCAATGCAGGATTGGAAGTAAACAAGCTAGGGGAAGGTCTCATCCAGCGACACAATGGGCACACTCCTTGGGCAGAATGCAATTTGGAATGATCCAGTCAAACTCAGGGCAAGCTGTGGCTGATGACCTACCCCACTGGGAGGCTGACTGGAAGGGGCTCCAGCCAGAGTAGGGTAACATTCAGAGATGTGGCATGCAACCTCCCCTGTGTGGGGGCGCTTTGGATTCGCAGGGTCTGCTCTTGGTCAGACCATTTCATCTGGCGCACCCACAAGCCACTGCAGGAGTGTTTGGGAGCTGCTGGGTTAAGGTTTTGCAAAATACAACGCAAGAGGCTCGCTTGTGGCACTGCGAAGCTCACAGTATTGTGCCAACACTACGTCAATGGCACAGCCACACAAATGTTGATCCCCACTTTCACCCTCCTGTGTGAGCCCCAGGACCTCTTCGATTGGGGTGGCAAAATCCTGGGTGACCCTCCCAATAAATGATACCTTTACTACTATTACTTCTTTTTTCAAACTCTGCACCTGGAAAGAACTTTCGAAATTCTGCATTATAGATGGAGAGCAGGGCAGCATCTGGCATTTCAGCTGCTGAAAATTCCTGCTGGGGGCATCCATCGCTTCACATGGATGCACATTTAGACAGACAACCTGCCCCAGGGCAGCTTTTTGGTCCAGCGAGCTCAGCATTGCCTAGAGCGACAGTCACCAGTTCCTCTGGGTGTGAGGCAGGAACGCATCACTATCTGGATGACCTGAACCCAGAACCAAACTTGCACCCAATCTGTTGCTTTTCAAATGTATCGGACTGCAGCTCCCATCGTTCCCAGCCAACACATCTGGAGGAAGGGAAAGGCCTCCTTTGTGGGGCTTCTGGCTATGGGGAGACGCAGCTTACCTGATGCCACGAGAAGGAACGGGTTGACGCTCATTGTCTCAGCAATGATATTCTAGCAATTAGGAACCGGCGGTGCACTTCTGTCCCTTTATAGCCTGACCTCACCTTGGATCCCAGCTGAGATGGGAGATAAGAGGCTGATGTGTTTACCTCCTCTAAGCACCATACCTTATTTTTCAGGTTATGCCATTGGAGCTTGTGATTAAACCAAGGCCATTAGAAACTGATCGGTTTCTTTCCAAGAATCTGCCTGGCCATTCCATTTTTCCAGAGAAGAATCTTGTTTTGTTTTGCTTAAAGACCTCAATCCAGGTAGCACAAGATCAAACCAAGGTACAAAGCTTTAGTCCCCTGGACAAGACCCAACCTGCTTGGTGTCCTCATTAGTCTGTTCTATGCGTTTTGATGGATTTCACCCAACAGATGCTTTCTGTGCAAGGAATTTTGCAGAATGCGTAAGAAGGGACCAAGGGACTGGCGTTCTGTTCACACTGAGGCCAACCGGCTGCCCATGTGAGACCCACAACCAGAGCATGAGTGCAAGAGCTCCCTCCCACCTATGTTCCCCAGCAACTGGTGTACACAGACATATGGTCTCTGATGCTGTAGGTAGCAGAGAGCCATAAGGACTAGTAGCCATTGGTTCAGCTGTTTGTTTAACTAGGAGTGGGCAACTTAGTTAATGGGGAGGAATTCCAGGGGTCGTAGGGGCAGGTGCAGAACGATTTTCAGCCTGGGGGCTGGGGTTGCAGCCCAGTGGCAGGCGGGGGCACAAAAGCCAGGAAGCTGCTGCCAGCATTGCAGACCTGCTTGGAACAAATACCTGGATTCAGCGGAAGTGTCCAATCAAGCACTCAGCAGCAAGCAGAAATTCCTAACTTACAACAGCACTGAAGGGTGGCAGCGTAAGACCGGCTGCAAGGAAACAGAACATGTTCAGAGTGTTTTATGGAGCTGGGGTCACGTACACCTTTGCAGGGAGGGGGAAAGAGAAGGGTGATATGCTAGAACAATAGAAGCACAAAATTACAATCAGATGCGTCAGGAAAACAACGTGATGCATTGAGAGCTTGAGTAACAGCTAACAAAACAAGCAGAAATTACAGAATTTAATAGGCTTCAATGCTTGTTTTTTACAGTCAGAGGCAGGGAACGCTCTTTAAGATGACGAGGTTGCTGGCAGAAGCAGCTGGGAGTCTCCGGTAAGATCATATATGCAATTAGTAGCTATTCGCCCTGGGCTTGTCTCCTTTCCCCATTGAAGGAACCTGAATGGAAAAACGCTGCAGATGCAGGTGAGGGGGAGAACAGGCAACACTGTCTGTACTGTCAAGTATAAAATGTATAACTTTTATTAGGCCAACTCCAACACTGTCCAGGAATTGGTGGCCAGGAGAGAGGGAGCGGAGCCAGGCGTTCCCTTCCACATGCTCAAGGACTGCTTTGCAAATAGGAAAGAGTGACTGATGCAAGGATTGTCCAGCAAACAGGTGGCTGGGCTCCCATGCTCCAGACTCTCACGGCTGCCAGGGCAAACACGCTGTTGTGGCTTGTGCGCTTGTGCAAATCTCACCCAATTTGCAAGCTGGGTTTGGTTCCTCCCCTCCTTCAGCGGCTCTGAAAGTGCCCCCCAAAGCCCCCGCAGTCACTGGCTGCTCCAAGTCCCAGGCTTGAACTCTGAAACACGAGGCACGGGCCTACACTGTGGTATCAGTAAGAAGACATCTTGACCTTCCCCTTTGTGACAGCCTTTCCCCTTTGTGACAGCCTTTCCTTATAGAGGAATGTCATGTTCCCCCTCAGTCTTCTCTAGGCTGTTGCATTCTATCTATTGCCCCGTACGGCTTTCATTGTTGTGAACCGTCTCAAGAGCTTTTGGGGGAATACGTAGAAACACAATGCATAAAGAGTCATGCAGAAATAAAAGTCTCCTCCTCTTCCACCTCAGCTCAGGCAAAGGCAGGCTGATGCCTGAATGGAAAAACTCGTCCACAGCTTCTCAAACATGCTCCATCCACAGGATCCTGCCCACTTCAGAGAAGGAGCATGTTGCATCTCAGGAGGGGCTTTTACTGCGAACCTGCAGCTCCCATGAGAAGGATCATGGCAGCTACAGCCGCCAAACGTAGGAGGGACAGTGTGACTTTCAAGCACAGCCACAGCCCAGTTGTGTTTTAACAAATGGAAAGGCCACAAAAAGCCCAAAGACAGCAGCCTCACTCTTCCAAACATGTCTAAGAGCCCCCATACATCTTTTTTGTTGTATTATTTCCTTTGCTTTAAATTTGACAACCCTAACAATAGCAAAAACTTACAATCATCTTACAGCATGTACATTTTCCATATAACAATGTTTACATCTCCATTCCAAGTCTATTCCACAAATTGATACTCACAGATGTGTGCATGCGTGCGTACAAATAGATTTACTATTAGAACATTGACAGTATTAGAAAATTATTGTATGGGGGACATTAATAGTAAAAAGAAAAGTTTTAATCTCAATTTTGTATAAAAACCTTGTAATAGATGAGAGCACCAGTTACATAGGAACAAAAGCACTATGGGAAAGGAATTTAAATATTAAAATACCCGAAAAAGCATGGAGAGGAATATGAAACCCTCAGTTCTAGGAATCAGTATCAGCACAATCTGAGGAAATGGTCTTGAAGAGAATTCAGAGATGGCACTCATTCCCCATAAAACTTCATGAAATAGATAAGGAAATATCAGACACGTGCTGGCAAAATTGCAGGGTAAAAGGCTTGCTTTAACATATGTGGATATCTAGTCCAAAAGTGGAATTATCCTGGAAAGAGGCAATTAAATGGTTTGAAAAGTTGACACACCAATTTTTTAAAAAAATTTAATTCTATTATTCTCCCTCTTTGTGGATGGGGACGATAATTTAAGTAAGAGCAGGTGAGATCCTTACAGGAGCAAGATTAGAAATTGGGCATTAAGGGGTTCTCCTTTCAAAGATATTTAGGAAGGGTATGGGAAATTGCACTAATGGAGAAATTGACTGGACAGGCTAGAATCCTGAGAGGGGAAATGAAAATGGGTAATTTCATGAAACTTTGGCACCCCTTACAGACCTTCAATATGGAATCAAATATTGAAATAAATATGCTGGATAACCCTATAGTATATTGGTGTGCTGTTTAGTAAGACTATTTTCATATATACATATTTGTATCAATTTGTGGAATAGACTTGGAATGGAGATGTAAATAGGTACTGTTATACGGAAAATGTACAAGGAAATCAACCCTGACTGCTCTTTAGAAGGCCAGATATTGAAGATGAAACTCAAATACTTTGCCTACCTAATGAAAAGGAACAACTCAATGGAGAAGACCCTGATGCTGGGAATGATCGACGGCAAAAGGAGAAGGGATGGCAGAGGGTGAGGTGGCTGGACGGTGTCACTGGGGCGGTGGGTGTGTGCTTGGTTGGACTGCCAAGGAACAGTGGAGGATATGAGAGCCTGGCGGTATGTTGTCCATGGGGTTACGGAGAGTTGGGCACAACTTTGCAACTGAACAACAATAATGAGAATACCTGTCAAATAATTTAATGAAAAATAGAAAGCTTATGAGAAACAATTCAACTAAAATTTAGGGAAACAGAATTTGCGAATGTATCATTAGCAACGTGTATTTCATGCTAAAGTTATGACATTATTTACAACTGTTTTGATAAATTAGAACTATCTGTTATTGGATTTTAAGTTAGAATTGATTGATTTAATAGAGGCTAGAAGAGATGGAAACTTTTGTTTCCTCATGAACAATTTAGATGCTGAAATTATATGCCATATTTCTGTAATATCCCTTGGTACGTTTTCTTCTTCCCTGTGTGTGCATCTTACTTCTTTTTTTAAGTGAGAATAAAAACATATATTAAAAAAAGAAACAGACTTGTGCTAGTGTATTAAATATTTAATTACTCTTGTGGCTAGACAGTTTACATGGCTCCTCAAAAGGCGAGTGTGTTTTTAATCAACAAGCGTATTCTCATGCCCCCGCCGTCTTGCGCCTGTGCAGAGGCCGCTGACTCAGTCCGCTTGCTTTGCAACTAAGCCCTTTGGTGACCTGAGTCGTCGGGGATTTCGGGACGGTCAGGGAAGAGCCAAGGAGCCAGGCGCAGACTTTCTTCTATCAGCATTTCCCAGCCTGGTGTCCTTCAGATATTTTGGGTGACAACTCCCACGATCCCTGACTATGCTGGCTGTGGCTGATGGGAGCTATAGTCCCGTTCAGGTTCAAGAAGGCTGCCTTATACATTCACAGCATTCTGCTCTGTATCCTTCCTGAAAAATGGGGTTTGGAACAGCCCTCAAACCAAGGACGATCTTGGCGGAGATTAAAAAAATAGCATCTGGTACCAAAAGATGGGGCTGGGAAGGGAGCTGCTGTGCTCACGGAATGCCCTTTGCATCTTGGCAGGGCGGGACCCACGCAGAAGCTTCTCTGGAATGTTGAAACAGACCTGGAGTCTGCACACATTTGGGAGGCGGAGAGCGGTCAAGGACGGCACGGGAATCCAGAGCATCTCTCATCATGCTATCCCTTCCAGGAAGGAGAGAAGATGCTCCTGGCAGGGAGAGCTTTGCATCCTGTGGACCACAAGCGTCAAGACACCGGAGCAAAGCGCCAGAAGCTGGAACCAGGCTGGTCACGCTCTCAGAGGTGGGCCAGACCAGAACGGCCAAGACAAACATGCCCCAAGAGGGCAAACACAAACAGGAAGATTTCCCCCAAAGGATAGGGCTTCTGGCAACAGGTGGAACAAGTGAAAAACGACGTTCCAGGGATCAAAGGCTCCAGAGAACCAGCAGCCGGCAGTCACCCAGCTCAGGTCCTGTGTGGAAGGCAATCGCTGGAGACGTTCAGGAAAAAGACTCATCTCCACTTCCATTTGGGTCAGACCCCAAGCAGAAAGCCTCACCCAGTGGGGCTGCAATGAGCAGGCATGTGGTCCCTCATCCAAGCAGCAGGAGAAACAGAACAGGAGGGGTGGGAGGGGATGGAGGGAACTGGGGGGAGGCACAGCCAGGACACCATTTTGAAAGGAGGCGGCGGCTGCTGAGGCTGCTGCATTGCGGAGGCGGCTGCTGAGAAGCGCCCCGGAGCCGGCGTCACTGCAGCGGGGAGACCTTCAAGGGGATCATGATGCGCGACTCCATGCTCCGAACCAGAGGCACTGCAAGCACAGAGGAAAGCTTGGGAGTTGCTTCGCAAGGAAGTGTGTTGGAGGGCCCTCCCTCCGGCCCCACTCCACCCCAGAGAGGAGACACGCGCTTGGGCGCCCAGTGCAGAGACGCCAGTCCATCCTCGGCCTGAAATGCTTGTCAGAGGAGGGCCTCTTACCTGGAGGAGGTAAGCAGGCCACTGCCCGTACCTGCAGCCTTTCGTCTCGCTATGCACCAAGGGTGTCTCTGCACAGGCAGTTTTCTTGGTGGCGGAGCTAACATTGTCGGTCAAGAGACGCTTGCATGGAAATGCATGGAAAACATGGGGATGGGACGGGAAAACCCTGGAGGGAAAGGGGAGCGCGCCTTCTACCTCCAGAAGGTGTCTGGAAAAACATCTTGGCATCATTCTCCCAGCCCCGGGGGGTCTGGGCTCTTTCCCAAGGCAGGAGGTCAGGCAAAGAGCAGGCCGAGACCCAAGTCCCAGCTGCAGAACGGAATTCACAGCAGGTCTCATGGGAGGAGGGAGGAAAGACGCACTCAGCTGCCTTGCTCCCAAACTGGCACCCCTCAAATGTGTGAGGTGGTGTCTGAGGAGGATGGGAACTATTGTCCAACTCATCTGGAGGATGCCAGTTTGAAAAACGTCGAGCTACCCCAAAGCAAGGAATGCCATGAGCAAGAGGGTGGGGGGAGTGACACAGACTAACAGGAGGCTGCAAGCCTGGCATTTGTGCCATCAAGGTCACCTGTATAGTAAACGTTTTCATCCCAGCCCCGCTTCCTCCAGGCCGCATTCCTCGTTTCCTCTCGGGACTGGAGGTCTCTGTAGGCTGAGAGGAGGAAAGCATGTTTACATGAACGCTTTTCGGGCACAGACAACAGGAGTCTTCTGCTTTTGCTCCCAAGACACGCACCCTGACCTGCCCCAAGCTCCGAACACCAGTCTGCGCCCGTCAGAAACATTCACGACTCGGCCTGCCTCTGCTCGCACTCGGCTTGCCCTTTCCCGGTGCGATTCGAGCAAACCTCCTCGACAGGCTGAGCCAGCCCTGCCCTGCACGAATCCCCCGTCTCACTGCTGCGCCATTCGCACGAGTTTCCCATTTGCACAAGACGAGCAGGAAGTATCAACAGCAACCGGGATGAGATGGGCAGCAAGACAGTGTCTGGAGAATCCCAGGCAACGCGGACACTGCTTGTGTGCCCGTCCCTGAGCAGCACAAGGGCAAGTGTCTCGTGCGCCAGCCCGTTATGGGACGGGGCTGTGCTGGTGCCCCTCCCCACACGACCTGCTGTCTTCCAGGTGCATTCAGTGGGGCATCAGAGAGCGCTCTGTGGATGTGCACACACAGCGGGACGGGTGCCGTCCAAAGTCAGAGCACAGAAGAAGGGTGTATTTGAACGAGGGGACAATCCACCCCTTTCCACGGGACCCTGTAAGGCAGATCCTTACCCCACAGGTGGTGTACGATGTACAGCTCCCCGATTTGGGAGAAGAAGCCCCCCACCGCTTCCTGGTTCTCCTGGCGATATTTGATGGCCCGTGCCCTGTCGAGATTGAGGGAGACCGTTCAGCACAGAGGCAGCTGCCAGAACAATGCAAGCAGACAGAGCAAATGGCTCGCCCGAGGCTGCCCAAATCGCGCCCAAAAGGCAAGGCTTTGGCTCCCCCTTCCCAGCGGGCTGCACTGGCTCAGAGCAGGAACGGTGCGGGGGGGCTCCTCAGCACCCCACTCCTGATTTTGGGCTGCCCAAACTGGCTGCTGCACCTCGGGAAACGCCCGCACGTCCGGCGGCTGCGTTGACACCTGGTAGGGGTGCAGGACCAGCTCTAAGAAGAGGCCGGGGACATCCCTGGACTGCTTGATGCGTGCTTTTCACTGCTGCTGTGCTGCAGCTCAGTGGCGACGGACCTCTTTACACGCAGAATGTCCAGGTTCGACCCCTGCCGCCCCAGGTACGCAGGAGCTTTTTGCGAGGTCAGGCTATACAAGGTGGATCAGGGGACTGGCTCGGGACCTGGCATCTCCCCGAGTTCCTAACTGGACTCGGGATTTGGGGTTTTCCGCAGCTGCATGAGCAATCAGGGCACATATGTGTGCGCTGCATGACTGTGGCGTCACCTCCCTGCTATGGCCCGCCTTGTGCCAAATTTCCCATCTTTCTGGTGCCAGGTTAAGGCAGCCCTCTTGGAAGAGGCCTTCAGAGACCTCCATGGGCATTCAGGGGCCTGATACAATTAGCCAGTGCTTTTATTCTTGATTGTGTCTTTTTAATTCTCTTTTTATTTTTAATGGTTTTATGCTATTTTAAATTAAGTTTAATTGTTAACATTTTTATCTATTATACTTTGTTTTTATAATTGTTATAAACTGTTCAGAGAGCTTTGGCTATTGGCAGTATAGAAATGCATTTGATGACGATGATGTCTCTTGCCAAAGTAATTTTACTGGTGCCTTTGCTGGGCTTGGCAAACAGCCGTCTTGGCCTTCAGCACTGATGCCTTTAAAAATAAGCCTGCAGGCCTCATTTATTTCACTCCGCATTTGGGGCTTTGAAAGCACTTTTCTGATAAGTGCGCACACATGTGTGTTTAATTGTAATATTGTGAGCAGCCTTGCGAGAGCAGCATTTCATGCAAGCAGGGAGGTCGAAACATCTCTTAATATAACTATTGCTCCTATTAAAGTAAGAATAATTACACATCTCAGTGCAACACTGATCTAGGGCACCCTTTGCCCAGCTGGAGTCCCCCCAAATGTTTTGAACTCCAACTCCCATCATCCCCAGCCAGCATGGCCACTGGTGAGGGATCCTGGGAGTTGTACGGTAAGCAATAGGAGGGTGCCAGGCTGGGGAAGGCTAATCTCAGACAACCCCGGAGGCCGACAAGCTAACCTAGAGAAGAAAGGACACCCGTGACGGAAGGGCTGTGTGCCACTGCAAATGGAGGTGCAGAGGAACCACCCTGCTGCCTCAGTGCCCCTTTCGCAACCCAAGCAGGGAGAGCTTTCTTCTGCTTCAGAGAGAAGGTGATCCCGGTGTGCCCCTTAGGCTGATCTTTCGGGCAACGCACATTTGGAGGGACTGGAAAAACATTCCACTTACCAGTTATTTCCCCACTCAATCATCGTTCCGGGCTGGAAGCAAAAAGAAAGAGTTGCAGCTGTGACGTGGCACACACACACAATTTCACAACATCCTGCCTGGACAGTCAGCCTCAAAATCTGTCATTTCCAGCTCCCAGAACTGCCGGTGGCAGTTCAGGTCCACACCTGCTGGGAATCTCCCTTCAGCCCACCCCATGCCAGAGTGGCAAACTCCCAAAGGCCAGCCCTGCAGGGTGGACCACGAGGCTTGCTTTCCATGCCATCCTTTCAAGCCTGGCTCCAGCCGGTCCCGGGACCGAATCCAAAATGGTGCTGGAACAAGAACAGTGCTGCCCGAGGCCTTGGGCCCCAGCACCTGAGTTGCATGCAGCAAGACCTGGGCTCAGCCCCCAGCTTCTCCAAAGGTTTGGGCGCAGAGGATGGGGAGAAAAGCTCCTCCTCTGCCTGAACCCCTGAGAACTCTGCCATGGCTAAACAGCCTCAGCCACTGAAAGGTGTCTGCCAAAGAACCAATTCAGAACCAAGGCAGGTAACGAGCTGGATTTCTGGCAGGTGACCAGAAGCACCAATTGGTCTGGATCCAGCAGGAATGGCCAAGCCTCCCTTTCTGAACACAGACACGATGCCGGCGTTTGCTGTCTCCCCACGCACGGACTGGGGGGAAAGCGTCTGTAAGAAGAGCAGCAGGAGGCTGCAAAACAGCAGGGCCAGCAGACGTGTCCAAAGAAACTGCCCAGAGGTCCACTAAAGCCTGGTTCACACGACACGGAGGCCTATTGTGGGTTAAGCAAGCCACAATCAGCAGCAGCCAGTGCAATCAGGGGCTGGCTTATGCCTTGCCCTCATATGATTATCTCTTCCCATGCATATACTGTGAGCTGTACAAGGAGGTCATCAAGTGGCAACAGGTAAGGAGGTTAACTTTTATTAGAGTCCAAAGCTGGGGTAGATTCCTGGATCCAGGCCAAGGCCTTCCAGCCTTCAGCTGGTTAGAAGAGCATCAGGAGTAATTGCCTTCAAGCTGCTTTCCCTCAAGCTGTAGAGAAGCGCAGTTTTTGCTCTGAGAACAAGACAGTTCACTTTACTGCACCAGCTTTGACCCTCCTTGCTACAGTGTCTGTGTATCCTGACAGCTCCGGAGACAGGGAGAAAGAACTTTATAGGGTCCACGGCAAGAGGAATGTCTGTTGTTCCTGGCCAGGAACTATTCACCCAGGCAACTCTGGAGGCTCCCTTGCCCTATAAGGAACTGATGCAGCCACAGAAACGCGGAGGGTACATTTTCCTTCATGTGTTTATATTCCGCATCTTCCATCATCCTCGCATTGAACAAACTGTGAATCTCTTTGCTACAGGTGGTTTCATTTCCTCCTCAAATCAAAAGTGAGGAGCTTTGGCAAGACAAGGCTGCTGCGAGTAAAACACCATGAAACTGGACTGGATGGATTTGTGTTTAAGCTTGATTTTGTGAACTGTTCAAAAAGCTTTGGCTAACGGGAAATATGGAAATGGAACAGACAACTAACAAGAGCGTTTTCGCCGCACCACACGTCATGGCTTGCCATTCACAGAAGTGGGGCCTCCAATGGGCCCCCCCAGTCCTGCACAGGCTCCGCTCCCACCCCCCTCACCTTAAGTTTGTATGTCCTCAGTTCGTAGATGTTGGGTCCCGCCCGGGGCAGAGGCTCATTCCAAAAACTGAATTCCAAGAGCAGCTGATTCCTTCGGGAAAGCAGCATCTGACTCCTCTGCTTCCGGAACTCCAGGTACTCCTATGGAAGGGAAGAGCCGAAGGGTCAGCCTTTGGATTCCCAAGGCAAACATTATTACAAATCAAGTCCCAAATCCTTCAGGGGATGTGGAATTTGGCATCTCGGGTTTCGCTGCAAAAGGGAAAGGGAAATTTTCTGGGCCTGGAATAGGCAAACCCCAGCAGTCCATCCTCTAGCCTGTGCAGCCTCTCCCTCACTCTCTCAGCCCAGGCCTGCAAGCTGAGCTGAGAGGAAGCCTGGAATGGCGGCTGCACAGCCTTTTTCTACGCAGGGGCCACAGCACAAAGGTGTGTGGAAGGCGGTGTGGAAGAGAGACGCTGCTTGTGCAACGCACGGAGCTCAGTCCCTGGCAGCCGCCCTGCAAACACCGGATGCACTCAGCAGGAACTTGGAAGTCTGGGGATTCCAACGGAATCCCGCCCTCAAAGGGATTCCCACATGTCCCTGGCCTGGAAGGGGACGAGGCACGGCCAGGCACGTACCTGGTTTTGCTTCAGCTTGTTCATGCATTCCATGAGGGCTGGGTAGCCGCCGATGAACCGCCAGAGGTGCACTGCAACGAGAGAGACCGCAAAGCCTCGCAAGGCCGGATTGCGCAAAGGACACGCGCCCCGTGGCTGGCTGCCCGCTCCCTCGGCACTGGGGGGCCGGCCGAAGAGCTCAACTCCAGGCTGGGCCGCCTTTCGAAGGGACGCTCTTGCCCCTCCTGCACGTGCAAGATGGAATTCAGAAGAGACACCCAGAAGCATCCTGAGCATCAAAGCGGGTGTGTTGTCAAGTCATGGCAACCCTTTTGGTGCTCGACAGCACTTTTATCTCACTGGACTCTGCACAGAGATGGGGCAGTGCTTTCGTGGGGAGGGTTATGGGGTGTGAAAATGGCCCCCGGACCTCCTAGTTTCCCACCCCTGCCTTAAAAGGCTTCTTATGGGCAGCCCGAGAGTTTGCGGCGCCTGAAGCAGAAAGTCCCCTGAGCTGGTTAAAGCGTCACAACATTGCATCGTTGTATGTATAGATGCCAGAATGGGCAACCTGTGGCCTCCTGGATGGCTTGGCCTACGACTCCCATCAGCTCTAAGCAGCATAGCCAGGGGCTAGGAATGATGGGAGCTGTAGTCCAAGATGGCTGGAGGGTCACACATCGCCCACCCTGGTCTAGCGGGCTCCTGACCGTCTCCCATCCAGGCACTGACTGGGCCCAGGTGGGCTTGGCCTCAGCACAGTGGGAGCTTTTGGAGCCTTCACCCCCTCGGGGGCTCAGAGAAGACCCCCCTCCCCGCACCAAGCATCATGCAGGAGCAGCCCGTTAAGAGGTGGCACCCACTGGCCCGAGCCGCTGTGCCTCGCGTCACCCCCCGTACACAGCTTCATCTCTCGGTGACGGAATGGAAGCCACGACAGCTTCCTTTCGAACCCTCAATGCAAGGATGGGGTTTCCTGGGGCTGCAGGCTCCTCATTGCACCAGGGGGTCTTCCTCTCCACTTCCTGCTCACACCCCACCCCCGAACCTATTTGGGGGCTGGCGTAGGCAATGGTGGAACAGCCTGGCATGGGGTCCTGCCATGCACGCCCGTGGCAACCCCTCCCCCAGCCGCTGGGCTTCCCCCTCACCTGCCTGGTCCTGTTCGCCATACCAGGTATTCCAGTTGCCAACCAGGTCGCAGGGGTAGTCTGCGTCCGAGTGCAGCTTTGGGAGCACCTCCTCCCTGCAAGGCAAGGGGGCCGGTCAGCAGGCAAGGTGGCAGGGAAGGCCGGGGGTGCAGAGTCCCCGCAGGCTGCTGGGAGCGAGGAGGGCATGGCCCTGGGCACACGGCCTGCTGACCGGGACTCAGGACAAAGGGTGGGAGGGATGCGTGGAACCGGGCCAATTCCAGATGTTGAGGGGAGGGGAGCAGAGATGCTCACCTGAAGGCCCGGCTCCCCAGGTGTGCAGCCAGCCTTTGGGGATAACCAAGATGCACAGCTGGCGGGGGGGGGCGGGGGCTTGGAACAGGGGACTTTCTCGGAGACAGATGAGGCAGGCACGGCTCTCCACCCCACGATGCGACCTCAGCAGAGAGAGCGGCCCACTCAGAGGACTGGCGGGCAGAGAGGAGGCAAGCTTATTCCCAGAAGGCCTCCCCTAAAAGGGTGGGGCCCAAACAGGCCCATGAGGAAAGTCCCTCGGAGTAAGCGCCAGATTGGTCAAACAAACTGCTCCATGCAGCCTCAGCGATTCTTCCCGGGTGCGTGTGCTGCTGCAAAACACTTCGGTGAATCAAGGATGTTTCGCAGGAAAGGTCTGTGGCTTGGAACGTGCGAAGGGAGGAAGCACTGCTGCCCCCGAGCGCCCCTCCCTAGAAACACAAGAACCCTCCTGGCAAAGCCGGGTGACTTCAGGACTCCTGCTCTCTGAGGCCGGGGGCACAAGGGCCGCATCCCATCCCAGAGAAGCTCAGGGGCCACCTTCTGGGGTGGAGAGCGCAAGGTTTACGAAAAATAAGCCAGCCTATGTGTGACAGAAAGCCGAGTCTTGGGAGTCATTTCAACCTCTCCAGAGTACCATGAAAAAGCCATGTAAAAGCTGGGAAGTCGCCAAATCACCTGTGGTTGGGGAAAGGAGTGGGGCCATTTGGGGGACCCCCGAGGGCCAATTCGGGATGCTGGCAGGACCAAATGTTGAGGCTCCATGATTCTGTACTAAGGGAATATCAGCAGGCGAGTGGTGCTTCTTGTGCTCCTGTATGGCAGGCTTGGTCCATCTCCTACCTGGCCTGAACCTTTAATCCTCATTTCGAAAGAAGCCTCTCTCTGTGTGAGCACATGCCATAGACCGGTGGAGAGATGAGCCTCTGAGCCATTTTGGCCACAACTGGCCTGAAAAGTCTGTGAGGGGCTGGAGGGCTCCAATTTTCAGAGGGTTGTTTTCATCAGTGAAACAAACATCATCTTGCTACAGTCAAACCAAACCTCCTTCATCAACACCCTGGATCGATCTCATTTCCCCAGAAATTAGGGTATGGCCCTAGGCATATTGAGACAGACAGACGTCCTAAAACAACCAGCATTCCTCACCCAGTCGGAACCAGAGAACTAGTTCAGGAAACTGAATGAGGCAGAATCACCGCATCAGCAGAAGGAAAATGAGGGGAAAGTAGCATTTTTCTGTTCTGCCCCACCTCGTCTCTCTCCATCCCCTTTTTGCAGTTTTCCGTCCATTAGCTGCAGTGGGGGAGAAGGTCGCAACAGGTCTTATTTTCCCCCCTCGTCACCATGCATGGAGCGCAAGTGCTCCCAGGCGCCAGAAAATTTCTGGCATTTCATTATCAGCCTGTAAAACTGTCAGCCAGTCCTCAGCCCGTCTTTGCAGGGAAATGATACTGGCCATAATGTCAGAAGGCAGGCCTTGGGGAGAAAGAGAAGAGGACGGGAACTGGACTTTTGCTCAGGCCTCTGCTAAAAGCTGCAAAATAACACACATCTCTGCGCAACAATGTTTGTGATTCCTTCTCCTTTCTCTCAAAAGGAAAGCAGCACATTAGTAAAATGTTCCAAGTATTGTTCAGAAACAACATTAACTTACAACAAGTAGGGATCCCTTATGTAGCCAAAACTGCGCCACATGTGTCCTAGAGGGGCTTGGGAGGCCCCTGAAGTTTGCAGAAGTAGAAGAAATTTCAGGAAAAAATAAAGGGAACCCCTCTCCAAAGAACAAGGAGATTCAGCCTGCTAAGCTAGGACTCACAGGGAAAAAAGGAAAACCAGGAATGGAATAGAATGGAGTTTTCAGGAAGAGACTGGCTAGCACACAGTGGAATTACACATTGTGATATGTTGCAGAATGCACTTGTGAATTTGTGTTTGTTTCTACTATGCTGTTGCTACAACTTATGATCATACAGTTAACCCACCCACCCCACACCAGATAACTGAGTCCAGGAGCCTCCCCTCACCCAGCCAGGTCTTAGAGACGAGAGATGGAGCCACTCACGTCAAGCTGTTGTAGGCGTCCAGGCACTCAGGTTTCACATTGTGGACTGGAACGAGAGGAAAGGGAGCACTCAGAAAATGCTGGAAGGTGCCCCGTTGCAAAGAATAGAGGGACAGCACCTGGCACAGGTGGGGACACCCTTTTATCTATAATCTTAGAGCAGCTCCCAGCAGCCACTTTTGGACAGGGACAAAACTACAAAAAATAATGCATGGGAATGGAATTCAACTGTTAGTAGGGGTCAAAAGAAGGTGGCGCAGCCATCTAAGGAACGCTTGAAGGGCCAGATTTATTCCCAGGTTTGAAGTGTAGACAGTGACCTACTCCCAGAAAAGAGCAACGAACAACCTGTGGTAACATGAGGCCAGTCAAGCCGTTTCTTCAAAAAGACGTGGCCCGTAACTAAAGCGGGTGTGGAAGAGGTGACAGCAAGGTTTCTGCATCACACAAACCCAACTGCATGGCCACAAGCCAGGCAGCAGCACTATCCCTCTAGACAAGAGACTTTTGCAGGCTGGGTATTTTCTAATGTGTCTTGAGGAATAGAAACTTGATTAGCCCTAATAGTAGAGCTTTGTGGAAAGCCAGGTTCTGGACCAGGAGAGTGCATGCTCCAGGATGTATGTGGAGCCCATATAATGGATGACCTCCTGTTCTGCAGAACTGGAATGAGCTCAGCCTGCTGGGGCCAGGAAAACCGCACCTGCTCACAGCAGATGGCGAACAAGCCCTGTGAATGCCAGACCTTCCCTGCAGATCAGCCGTTCACCCTCCCTCAGCCACATGAGAGCACAGAAACAGAGCGAGCCAGAAGGGGCCTCCCGGGCCATCTAGTCTGACCCCCGGCTCCAGCCGGCTCCGCTCACGGCATGCCCACCATGTGCATGTCCACCCTATCCTTGAACACCCGCACCGATGGGGCCTCCACCACCTCCTGTGGAAGCCCATAAAGCAGGGAGCTGAAAGGAAGCCCAGGACAAGGAGCGGCTGAGGCTCACATTGGATCTTGTACAGGTGGTTGGTCTCTTTCTTGGACAGGAGGTTGGAATGCGCGTCCTTCCGGGGATCGACTTTGTGCACGAAGAGCGAACGGAACCAGCTGCTTTCGTTGTCTTTGGAGTAGCCCCTGCAAGAAGAGCAGAAAGTCAGAAAGCCAACGAGGACCACACATTTGCGCCCCTACATCTCGGCGGTGAGCAACTCTCGTCGGGCGGCCTGGGGCAAGAGAGAAGTCACCCACAGGAGAGGAGGGCATGGGAGCTTTAGGCAAACCGATTCTTCTGTCTGGATTTTTAGAGAACAACCCATTGTGCTTCACGGGACTTGCTGAACTGGACAGGTGAAGAAATGCTCATCTGGCTGTAGCCACAAGAGGGTGTCTCATTATAAAAGGGAAACGATGAATATTAAATAAAAAGGTATAAGAGTAAAAACACTTAAACAGCATTAATTATATGAAAGAATATAAAACACAAGCAGGTTCAGAATGAATTCTGGGTAACTGACATAAAAAAGCATTGTCAAGATGATGTGGGTGTATCCAAAGAGAAAATGAAGATCCCACCCTAGACTTTGTTTGGTACCGTGTGTGCATGGAGGGAGCGTTTCTGGGTCACTCCCATTTTGGAGTCCTTTCCTCTCATTCAATTGCTTTTGTATCTAGATATCAGTCATAACTCCTTCTAACGATAAGTTCTGTTTGTGAGTGCCGGCTGCTGTGGAGCCAGAGAGAAACGACAGCGGTTCCCAGGTCGGACATTGGGTCACAGGAGCAAAAATGTTTGGAAAAGCACCTATGAGCACAATCTGCTCCCACACACACACAAAAGACCCCAGCCCAAGCGGACTGACCGCAGACAGCAGGCACAGTGTCGGATGTCAGCTGGAAAAAGAAGAGAAAGCAAGGAAAAGGGAGAGGAACACCGACAGGAAATGAAATTAGACTGCCGCAAAGGAAACGGTAAGCCAGAGATGGTCTCCTCAGAGCGGTGTTTCCATGAGGCTGCAAGAGGATGCTTCTGTGCTTGCGCTTACGCGAGGGCAGGGGTGCGTGAGCAATGCTTGACACAGGCACAACAGGGCAGGGGTGCGGAGCATTTCCCCATGTGACAGGGTCCCCAGCAGCTTTGCAGAGGTCACAGCAAGAAGCAGGGAAGAGGAGGAGGATGTACGAGAGCACTGGAGGCCTGCCCTGCTGTGGGGCAGCCCGTCCTTCGGGGAGCAGCACTCACAGCCCTCCAACAGGGGCTAGGGGGATGTCCAGGGTGCCCCTGGGCACGGCTTCGCTCCGGCAGGGCAGGCAGCCGGACTCCATCCTGAGTGGCAGCCCCTGCGGCGCCCCCAGAAGGGCTACTCCCACCCGTGCCAAGTCTGGCTCGTCGGCTGCATTCCGAATCCGTGGCCGGCCAACTTGTGCCCGGCACGCCCACCGTGGGCTTGGCTTTCCTGGCACGCTGCCCCAGCTCCCAACATCCCCATGTCAAGCACCTTCTGGCTGCCCTTTCCTGCCTGGCACCTTTGAATCTGCAGAGCAAAACAAGGAAGAGCGAGCCAAAACGAAGCCGACTGGTTGGACAGAGTTGCTGTGCCTCCACGAATGGGCCAGAACACCCACACCCGCGGCTGTAAGGCCAGCAGCCAGCTGAGACTACGCTTTGAACTGTGGAGAGAAGGGTGGATGCCATGCACCCCTCAGCCTAAACCGGAAGGCAGCCTCTTGCTTCTGCAGGTTATGCATGTTCCTAGCCCTCATGGTGCAAAACCTACCCCCAGAAACTGATCGGCAGAGTTTTACTGGCCCTGCCGATACCTAGCTGGCGTATATTGCAGGCCTGAAGGCAGGTCTGTGCTGACTGTATCCATTGATCTATCATTACTCCCCTTTATACACTGCTTTCCACACAAGTGTTAAAGTGGTGGTCATAAAACGCAAAAACAAAACCGACCAATTCAAACACCACTGTGCAAACCAACAAGCGACGAAACGCCCATCCTGAGGCCACCGATCCAAGCTCCTTTGCTCCAGGAACAGCCCAAGCTGGCAGGCGGCACTCCTGGCCATCGAGATCCCCCAGGGGCCACAAGGAACCCAGGGGAAGCCCCGCTCTGCACACCCGGAGAGCGGAGTCCCACCCCGGCACAGACCTCTTTCCGGGGCCATCCCACACAGAGAGACCGCTGGCAAACGGCAGAGTTGACTTGGCCTCCATTTCCTTCTGTAAAATGGGAATAATGGTGGTGTCGAGTCCCTCTGGAGTGCATAGGCAGAATCTGGGGAAGGGGGACAGCCGGGGAAGCGGATAGACCGAGCCCGGGAGGAATGGCCCGATGAAGCAGATTGTTACAGCTTCGCAATCCTATTCCCCCCAAGAACCCCATTCCAAGCACACAGCCACCCTGCGAGGTTGCCCAGGTTGAGAGGGGGCCACCACTGACAGGAATCTGAGTGTGCACTTCCCAACCTGAGCCAGATGCCAGCTCCTGTGCCATATGGGCCCCCACCCTGCAAAAGGCCACCCCTGGCCATGCCCTCCCCCCAGCTGCCTCCTGTTGCAGCATGTGTCTTAAGCCAAAAGGCCCGGTTCCTCAATAGTGCTTTTTGGAAAAGAACAGGTTTCTAGCCCTCATGGTTGTGCAGTCACCTTGAGAGTGAACCGGCAGAGCCTGGTGGGATGACCCAGGGCATCCCTGGCCTGCCTTCAATGAACTCTGCTTAATGCAGATTTCCCAACCTGTCTCCCTCCAGAGGATGGGGATACCGACTCATCTCAGCCCTGGCTAGCACAGCCCATGACCAGAAGTTCTGGGAGCTGCAGTCCAAACCATCTGGAAGGCCCCAGGCTGGGGAAGGGGTGCAGGGCCTCAGTTCCAGGGTGCCTGCTTTGGTGCCCCTCCCCCCCACCAATCACTGGGAGGTTTCTTGCTCTGGGTGCTAATTTCGCCTGTGGGGCTGGCAAGCCTTGTCACCCCAGCCCCCTTGGCTTCAGCCCCGCTGGCACTGGAAGGCGGCCCTGGGAGCTCTCCGGTGAACCGTGGCCCTCGGGCTGAAAGGGCTCCGGAACCCTTGGCGTGCAGGCTGCAGAATCGTCAGATTTTCTGAGCACAGATCGGGACGCCCCAGCACAGCCTGGCTTGCTGGCAGCCCACGCCCGGCCTCCTCAGACAAAGGAGCGGCCATACGGAGCCCTGCAGAGGCGGCCGGCGCTACCCTAGGAAAGCACACAAACTGCACCCAGGTGGCAGAGCCTCCAGCGTGGCACGGTCACCGTCGCGCGGTGCACTTTGCACAATGGATAATCCACTCTTATCTGAGCTCGCATCTTGAGAGGCTGGAGCAGGGCTTGACTTCCATCACTAATCCATGCATTTGTCAAAAGCCAATCCCGGCTTTAAGAAAACTACACTTAATGCAGAAAGCAAAATAGAAAATAAGAACGGAATGTGCGTTTGTCCAACCTTTTCATTCCCCTTTAATTATTCCTTATTTTATTGGCTTTGCCGTTAGCTAGTTGGCGTAGGGGACCCTTTTCTCGGCAGGCTGGTCCCATTCGCTGTGAGCTCATTAGGAGAACTCTCTTTGACTCAGTCTCTGCTCCCATCGAAGACAGCGAGAGCCCTGACGGGGGTGAGTGCAAGGGCTCACTTGTACGGTTGCGATCCTGACTCCAGTCCAAGTGAATTCATGGTAGGTAGGACCACCTTGCAAGACTGCTTGAGTGCTTCGCTCATTTTTATTTTGCTTAATTTTAAGCTTTCGTGGTGGTTCAGAGACTGGAATGGGAACCATGAAAGATCCCAGTTCAAATCTCATCTCAGGGTCTGGCTTTAAGTCCTGTCTTTCAACCTCTGCCCACCAGCCTCAGATGAGAATACAGAACTACCCTGCAAGGTTGTTGTACAGCAGAGAGAGGAGGGCACAGCTAAGAACCATTCAGACCCATGTTTTCTTTAACTCTCCCCAAACAACAAAGCTCAAAGCAAACGACTTCTTTCAAACGTCTTCACACAGCAGGTGTTGCAGCATCAGGACTGCAACCAGAGCACTATTTCTGGCTGCTGTAAGCCATCAACCAAGCAAGCAAACAAAAAAGGAGACCTTTGCCCCACTGTGGTCATTCATTAACCCCAGGAACTCCATGGCAAACAACCCTTCAGCGAGGCAGGGCCTGCCCCTTCTGCCCCCAGCCTCCTTTTAGGCAAGGGCAAATGGCTGGACTCGCTACCCTTCCAGGAACCAACAGAGTCGGTTACCCAGGTCTAAAGAGCACAGAACGAACCCTTGGCTCTCCAGCTGTTTGGGCCATCAAGTACCATAGCCAGTGGTGAGAGATGCCAGGCGTTGCAGGCCAACACTTAAGTTGCCCATATCAGCCCGGGGCGGGGCGGGGGGGGGGGCTGCAGAAACTGGAGCCCAACACCCAGTGGAGCATTTCTCCTGACCTGACCCAACCAGGACACAATCAACATTGGAGGTCTTCTGAGTACCACCTGTAAGGGAGCCTAGGAAGAAGGCAAGAAGAGGAAGGGTCTTCTCAGTGGTAGCCCCAAATTATAGAATGATCTCCCCACTTAAGCCCACCTGGCACCATCTTTTTGGCACCAAATTAAGACTGTTCTCTACTCCCAGGCATTCCATGGGATCTGATGGCTTAGCATGGGGCATTTCCCTTAGTTGTCTTTTTAGCATGTCTAATACTTTTATTGAAATTGGTTTTAGCAGTTTAAACTGTTCTAAATTCTATGTACTGAAATGTATGTGCTATTCTATTACCTGTCTTTGTGGAGTCTATGCACTGCAAACCACTCAAAGAGCTTTGCCTATTCGATGGTACAAAATGACACCAAGAATAGGAACAACAACGCAGCCCCTACAACACCATTCTGGGCTATTCTGCTGCATCAGCAAGAGGCACGACACTCTCAACCATCATCGCCGATGCCCAGTAGCATTAGAAGCTCAGATGAGAAGCTCCCCGTTGTACTCCTGCATGAATCACTGTTCTGGACTGCATCTTTTGATTATGTGAAATATGCTCAGGGCAATAAGACCTCCAAGAACAGCTTGCATAAACTCCCCAACACTGTTTTAATGAAATAGTTTCAAGCAGTATTTCACAACATCCCAAAAGATCCAACAAACAATCCCTAAGACTGATCCACCCATCATATTAACACACTTTTAAACCAGCAGAAAATAACCAACAGCTGCCCCCACCCCTGCACCTACAAACCAAAAGCAGCTCAGCTGAAAGTAATTTGGACCAGGTAACCTCTTATCTCAACCTGAAAACTAGCACAGGTGGGACCAGTTATGCACCCTCTGGAAGGCAATTTTGCAAATAAGGAGCCACAACCGAAAAGGCTCCTTCTCTGATCTTAGAGGCATGTGTGCAAGCAAGCAGGAATCCAAACTGCTCCTAGCACCATCTCACAGAAAGAAGGAAACCGAGCGCTGCCAAAGGGCAGCAGGTCTTTATACCTCTAGCACAGCTCAAGTCCTGAGGTCACCAAGATTGTGTCTGGGCCTTACTTTCAGTTTAGAAAGAAAAGTCTGCTTCTCCCTGCTCTTTCCAGATGCATTGTACTGTCTCTCAGGCAGCTGCCAGCAAGTTCCAAATATGCAACCTTTTGGACAAGATCTGGGAAGGGCACCTCTTCTTCAAATCGGTGTGTGTGTGGAGGTCATAGATCCCTTAGAAGGGAAGTGCACAAATAAGGAGCCACCACCAAAAAGGCCCTTTCTCCGGTGCTCACCCACCTAACAGACATGCAGTCCTACCAGTAAGAATTCTTATTACACTTACAGTCCAACTGTCCTCCAAGGAAAGCAGAGCAATGCAGTTTTCCTCACAAGGAAATTAGGCTGACAGCCGTGCCAGCTCAAGGTCATCCGATGAGAACGCCCATGCTCAAAACCCCTCCTTCCCAACCTGGCATCTTCTCCATGTTTGGAAGAGCTCGGGCTTCTCGACCACTGGCCATGATGCATTTGGAGAACGCCAGAATGAGAAAGAGGGCAACTGTGCAGCACAGTGGCTTTCCTACAGGTGCCTTGTGGGGTAATGCAGCAGGGTCTCTGCCCCGGGAGCCTGTTTTTGAGACAAACAAGAACTTCCAACAAAAGCAGGGAGGGATGGAAGAACTGGGGATCCACTGGGCCAGCATCCCACAAAAGGACGCCTCTTACAAGGCTTAAACCTCAGTTCTTCACATTTTCTTTGTTGCCGAGCAGTTCCAGCCATTTTCAGTGGAGTAAGAAATTCCCGCTCCCAAGAGAGACGCTGCCCCTTTCAACTGTGTCTTTGCACTTTCGAGCCTGAAGCATCTTCCTATGTCGCAAGAGTTTGCTGCACCGACAGATCAAGCCTCTACAGATTACGGAGTGCAACTCCCATCGGCCACCCTGAAACACAGTGGCCATGGAAGGGCAGTCCCCATGTCATTTCCAGCAACAGCCAGAAGATGAGATTATTCTGTGCACTGCCCTTTGTTCACTGCAGAGGCAGCCTCAACATGAAACTTAAGGGCTTGACACCCCCAAATAACCACTGAAGGACACTGGGGGCTCCCCTCCTGCTCTAACCCATGTGGTCCCCAAGGCTGAAACTGCAAACTTGTGGGTGTAACAGAGAAGTTGTGGGCTGCTGGCCAAGGCAGAGGGAATAAGAGAAAAATATTTCTCAAGTGTCAGCAACTCAGTCCTGTAGCACAGGAAGAAGGGAAAGTGCCTGTTTGCGAGAAAATTGAAAGGGTTTACAAAAAATTGCTCTTTTTCTACAGTGGCTCCCACAGCATTGCTGGATTAAACATGGAAAGGGCCAGGGTCAAATTCCCATTTGACCATGAAGCTCACTAAGTGATCCTGGGCTTGTTCTCAGCCAAATCTACTTCACGGGGTTGTTGGCAAGATAAACTACCTCACTGGAGAACCGAGATGCAGCAATAATTCAGACTTGTAAAGCTGCTTGGAAGAAAGCAGCGGGCGTTAGAAACGGCCTCTTCTGGGTGGTAAAATCCTTTCCCAGAGATACAGGACTGCTATTTTGTCAATGTTATGCTTTTAATGTTGTGCCTGCTGATAGAAACTGCACCTCAGCAATACAGACAAAAATTACTATTTCATTTCTATACTGCCCCATAGCTGAAGCTCTCTCGGCAGTTCACAAGGTCCAATTCAAGAAGGCAGTGGTGACAATCTGTCAACTCCGGGGGCCTCCTCCACATCTTAAATGACCTGCCACGGACACCCCCCCCCCCCCCCCCGCAATGCCCTTTGCAGTGTAAATCTGTCCTGCCCTTGGGAGTCAGTAGCCACATTTCCGATTGTGAGCCTCATGGGTGCTCTCACAAAATGGCTGATGCAGAGGTGGGGGAAGGAGTGGTTAGGAAGCACACCTTTTCCTAAGACAAAATGCGGAGACTGAAAGAAAACCCCCTTGCCAGGGAAGCAGAATACAAAGGCAGACATGGGCTCTGAGCTCCAAGGTACGAAACACACCTTTCGGTACCCAAATCTGGATGGTGGCTGAGAGCACTGCTCTGCAGCATGAAGCACCCCAGGCTTATTTTTACAGCGTAATAACCCCCCCTTCAGGTAATAAAATACGGCGTAATTTAAAAACCCCTCAGGTGGGGCCAAGAGCCCAGAGGGCAACGGGCTCTGCAGCACTGGGGCCACGGGCTCCACGTTGGAGACCCCCTCCTACGATCTAACCCATTCTCCCGCAGGCCACGACTGACAGCACCCCCAATTAGCAACGAGGACAAAGCTCAAGAATGGGGATCAAAGCAGCTCCTGGAGCAAAAAAGGCACCGAGAAAAAGGCTGGCCAGCAGCCCACCCGCCCCTCCTGCACGTCCCATCTCCGGAGACGGGGCAGCTGCTGCTGCTTCCCGAGATGTCTTACTGGGGCAGGAGCCAGGGCTGAAGTCGGACGCCCTGCTCCAGCCCTCCCGCCCCCACGTCGAAGCGGGGAGGCCCTCCCCGTCTCCCGCCTGCGGGGCCTCCCCCGCCGCCGCCGCCGGGACCGACCGGCGGCGCGAGCGGCGAGGGAAGCGCTCGGGCGTGCGCGGCGCGCTCAAGCCCTGCCTGTGGCGGAGCCCCGTGTGGCGGAGCAGGCGCCGCGGGACCCCGCGGCTGCAGACGGGTCGGGGCGAGCCGCGGCGAGGCGAGGCAAGCTCGGCCGCCGGACGCGCCTCCGGGCTGCCCCGCGGAAGAGCCGCGCAGCGCCGGCGCTCTGCAGGCCGGCCTGGGCCCCGCCGCCTCTCCGCGGGAAATGCAGCAGAAGCGGCGGCGGCGGCGAGACACGCCCCGCCGGGCAAGGCAGGCGGGGGCTCGGGGCGGCGGCGCCCTCCCGCGGGCCGTGCTGCTCACCGGGCTCCGCCGCCGCCGCCGGCCGAGCCGCGGCCTCCGCCCCGCAGCGCCAGCAGCAAGCGCTGCGCCGGGAAGCCGCACGCCCGCGCCGCCATCTTCGCTCTCCGCCGCGCCGACTCGAATGGGCCCGGCCAGGAGGGCCGCAGCGCGGGAGGGCGGCACCGTGGGCGGGCCTGGTTCGACGGTGGCGCCGGGGCCGCCCCCCGGGCCAGCCCCCTTGCAGGGCCGCGCCGCCCTCCTCCTGGCGGGGGAGCCCGCCGCCCGGATCGGCCCCTGAGCGCGCGCTGCGCGCATTCAGACGTGCATTGACTTGCTGTGGGCCATCTTGTTCACGCGTTCACACACAAGCGCGCGCACACCCTTGCCCGGGGCCTCCTTTATTGAGTACGCTCTGGGCCGATGACAAAGGGTTAGAAAACAAACAACCAGGAACGTTAAAAAAGTTTTGCTGGGTCAGATCAAAGTCCAGTCCAGCTCTCCGTACACATGGTGGCCAAGCAGCTGCCCACAGGATCCCCCAAGCAGGGTGGGTGCAAGACCTCCCCCTGCCCAAGCTCCTCAGCAGCGGGTGTTTGCAGGCAGGCCCCCTCTGGGAAGGGGGAGCATGTGGCCAGCAAGGCTAGTAGCCTCCCATGCTCTTCCCCATGAAGCACAAGCACCTTTAGCAGCTGGGGGTGTGCTATCCACTCCAACCTTCTGGGCAGAGCCAGCAGCAGTAATCGATGCTCTGGCAACCTCTGGTTTGGATTACTGTGATGTGTTGTATGTGCCTTTGAAAATGGCCCAGTTACTTCATCTGATGCAAAATAGGGTACCGAGGCTGTTAATGGGGACTGGCTCTTGGGAACAGGTCTTTCAGCTGCATTGGTTGCCAACTGAAGGCCAGGCCTGATTCAAAGTACCAGTGGGAACATTTTAAGCCCTAAATGGTTTGGGGCCAGGTTATCTGAAGGATCGTCTTGTCCCATATGTTCGTACCTGAGCACTAAGCTCATCTTCTGAGGTCCTGCTCAGGGAGCCCCCTCCTAATGAAGCAAAGAGGGTGGATACCAGGAGAAGGGCCTTTTTGGCTATGGCACCCTGATTATGGGTCCAGCTGCTACAGAGGTGTTGCTGGTGCCTACTCTTTATTATTTTCAGCACCAGGAAAAAAAATATTTTATCTGCCCAGTAGTTTAATAGTTAACTCTTCATCTCAGTTTTTATTCTGCATTTTATCTGGGATTGCTGCTGTACCTCTGCACCAATTTGATTGTGGTTGCTGCGAGCCTGTTGTCCCCGTTTTACAGTTGCTCACGAACTTAATCTGTTCCAGGACTCTGGTCGTGACCAAATTGGTCATGAGCCAAGTTAAATTTCCCCATGTAAAATGTAAATAAGGTTAATCCGTTCTGTAACTACTTTTTTAATCAGAAAAATTTGAAGAAGTGAAGTGGCAAAGAAAGATCGCAGCCATCTCCCCGACCCCCAGCACAAGCCCGGCCATCTCCCCACCCCCTCCCAGCACGACCGCGATCACGCCCATCATCCTGGCACACTGGGGGGCGGAGGAGCCGGGCGCAATTGTGCCGTGCCAGGGAGATGGCCGAGATCACAGTTGCGTTGGTGCAGGAAAGACGGGCGCGATCTCGGCCATCTCCCCTCCACCCCCAGCACGATCGCGGCCATCTCCCCACTCGGGGCGGGGGGGGGGGAGATGGCTGCGATCATGGTCACCACCCAATGTGGAGTTCGCGACCTGAGTCAAAATTTTTATGAAATTTTTGTTCGCAACCCGATTTGGTCATGAACTGAGGCGATTGTGAGCTGAGGTACCACTGTATTTGGGATTGTTGTTTTACTGTTTGACCATTATAGAATAATAGAGTTGGAAGGGGCCAGAAGGCCATTGGATCCATTCTATATTGTTCTTGTTTTTGTGATGTTCTTTTTACCTTTGTGGACCACCCAGAGAGGCTTTTGGGCAGTGTAGAGATAGCTAGATAGGTCCTAAACCTCCCACCAGTCAGCTTCCTGGGATGACCCTGCGTTCAAGTGTTATGGGAGAGGGAAAAAGGTATCCCTCTGTACTTTCTCCATACCACGCATTATTTAGACACCTGGATCATGCCTCCCCTTCCTCCCCTTTCTCTGAGCCGAACTGCCCAGTTGTCACAGCCTCTCCCCACAGAGGAGCTGCTCCAGCTCCCCAGTCAATTTTGTTGCCCTTCTCTATATCTTTTCCAACTCAGTAATGTCCTTTTTCCATTAAGCCAACCAGAACTGCGCACCATATTCCAAGTGCGGCTGCACCAAGACTTGTGTAAAGGAAGCAAGATGTTGGCAGCTCTATTTTCTGTCCCGTTCCTAATTAAGCTTGGGGCGGAGTTTGCCTTCTTCACGGCAGCCGAGTGCTGGGCCGACATTTCCATGGGGCTGCCCCCCACTGCCCCAAGCCCCCTTCCGTGCTCAGTCTCTGCCGGCTCAGGTCCCATCAGTCGGGATTTGTTTCCCCAACATGCATTTTTCTACGCTTGCTTATATTGAACTGCACTGGCCATTTGGATGCCCGGCCTCTCCACTTGGAGATCCCTCTGGCGCTCCTAACAATCCCTTTTGGTTTCGACTGCCCTAAAAGGTTTAGTTTCATTAGCAAACTGGGGCACTTCACTACCCACTCCTAAATGAATTATGAATAGGCTGTAAAGCATTGGCCCCAATACAGAACCTTGCAGGACTCCACTGGTAGCCTCTCTCTATTGGGAGAAATTGCCATTTATTCCCACCCTCTTGACTTCTGTTCTTTAACCAGTTTGTGATCCATGAGATCTTTATTTCTCTCCTTTATGCCATGACTGCTTAGTTTGCTCAGGAGCCTTTGATGAGGGACTTTGTCAAAAGCCTTTTGGAAGTCTCTTAAAATGCACAGTTAAACATAGAAAATACCAGAAAGTGTCATCAAGAGTATAATGCAAACTAAGAAACAGTGCCAGAATTGATAGCACTGACACACCAACTTAGAACTAGCTCTCTTAAAATGCCAGGGAGAAGAGGGAAGTCTGAAAAGAGCCCACTGGGGGATTTTATTTTAGGACCCGGTGCCCAAATGGGAAGGGAAGCTCCTTAGAGAGCCACCTAGTTCACTCTGGTGGGGGCTCCAGGTCAGGGGCCTCTGACGATGGCCTAAAGAGCCAAGCAGGTACCTGCGGCAGGAGACTGCCTCTGGATAGTCTGGTCCCCAGCCGTTTTCAGGTACGTGAACAATTACATTAACAGCAAAATACTACGACCTGTGTACCCCACGTCCCTGGCCACGGCACCAAGACAAGAACGGGCTACAGAGCCACAGAGTTCAAGTGTCCCTTTGAATCCATCCTCAAACACAAGAATCCAAAATGTCCTCTTCAGCTGGTCCATGTATTCACGACATGAAGAGTCAGCTCATGTGCAGAATCTCCAAAACCCTGGAATGACGTGCCAATCCAGTTGTGTATATACACAAACTCACTGTGGATTTGCCCATCAGCAGGGCCATCTTATCGCATGGGCCTGATGGGCACTTGCCTGTGGGCCCCATACTAATCTATGTTCACCCTTGGAAAATTGGAAAACTTCCAAAATTAACAGTAGCTGTAGTTGCGTAGGGGCCCCAGAACACTGCTTTGCCCGGGGCCCGTAATGCTGTTAAGACGGCCCTTCCTGTCAGAGCCTCTTTACTAATGGCGAGAATTAATTACCAGGAGAGGAGTCGCAGGGAAGATTGAATCTTGAAACTGGTGTTGTCATTGGTGAGATCACCCAAGCCCCCTGCGGTTACTTAGGACAGCATGCTTACAGCAGCAAGGTCCCCACCGCCAACCACAATATCACAGCCCATGTATAGTCACATGCACCAATACAGAGTGTGACGCTTCCAGATAATCTTAGTCCAACAGCATCCTGATGTCTTTAGGCATGAGGTAATGTTCTAAGCTACTGGTAACAATAGTATGGAAAACATCACTGATTGCTGTAGTGATAAGTTAGTCTAGTAAATTCTTGACAGTTCAGGTCAGCCCCTCTGTCCATTTAAACATGCAAATGTGTCTGATGGAGGAACCATTCAGGAAGTCTGGTTTGGCAACCACACTCGGCAGGCGCTCCCCTCTGTGGGACCAGGGGCTTAGGCGGTCCGTCCGTTGGGAAACAAAGGGGCACCCTTGTCTCAGGTATTTCCCCAGGGATCCTGTCAGCTCCAGCAGCTTCTCAGGCCAGCGATGAATGTCATCCTCTTAAAGCAACAGCAGCACTAAGCAGTGCCCTGGCTTGGAACTGGGCTGCTTTCTGAGGAAGGGCGCAGGTCTGACTCTATAACACAAAGGCGCATAGCGCAACCCTTTTCTGCCAGGATTTATCTGAATTTTCCCAACACGGACATGTAGACCAAGTCAGCAAGGGCCTTTGCAGCAACAGCAGCTCCGGCCTCTTCAGCTTTCCAGCCTTTTCTTGATTAAAACAACCCAGTCTTAGTCTCACTCCTTTGAGATATAAAGACATTTCATATGGGTTACACGAACAGTTCCAAAATATAGAAGGTCTTTGCATGTGCACAGCTTAATGTCGTGTCTACAGTGTAACTTGAGGGTTATTTCAGAGGAGTTCCCTTACAAAATTGTGCATGTCCCTTTGGGGAGAGAGTTGGAACACTTGCTTTTTGCTCTTTCTATAGAGATGCATGTAAAGAGTTAATTTTGACTTCTGTGCCTCCTTGCAAGCTGGGATGGTGCAGTCAACCAATTCTTAGCAGTAGCAACTAAAATCAAGTCAAACGTGATTTTGAAATTGTAATTTTTATGGATTCGATTGTCCAAATGTTGGCATTGGTGTGTGTGGTGTCTGTTTAATCTTCTTGATATTGCATGCCAATTTTATATTTTTGAAATATTTATGCAAAAACATGGCTAATGTAAATAATTTTATTTCATTTCATAGTCCAACCCTCATCAAATAAGCAATTCTTTCAGGGTAGCAGCTCTTTTTTAAGAGCACAACAAATAAAAGTCAAGAGGCAATGAAACAATCTGACGGTCCAGGGTTCAAGTCCCTGTGCGGGCGCCAATATCGGTGAGGGCGTTCAAAGACAGGCTGGACGTCC